AATCATTCGCTCGATTGCCAAGCCTACGGGCTACCTTTATTTCGAGTTCGAGCAATCACTCACTCGACCATTAAGCCTACGGGCCACATTGACTATTACGCCTACGGGCTACATTGCATCGAGTTTAAATCATTCGCTCGACTGCCAAGCCCACGGGCTACCTTTATTTCGAGTCCGAGCAATCACTCACTCGACCATTACGAGTCACTCTTCTCAGTGAGGCTCCGAACTTTGGCATCATGCTCCTCCCTGATTCGGAGAAAAGCCTCGTGATGCAACATCGAAGCCTGCAAACAAAAGGAGAAACATTAGAATGACCTACAACTCTGTGTAAAAGAAGCGGCAAAAATGCCATCAGGAGTTACCCGATTCAAAGCATGTTGGGCCTCGTTGAAAAGACAGGAAGCCCCTCCGCATTCATCACTGATTAATCTTCTCCGGTCACCAAGTACCGAAGGTAACTGGCAATTCTCACAGGGGAAGAAAAATTTCGGGTATCCTCGATAAAGTCGGGGACTATAAAGACGCATAAGATGATCGAGCATTACATACGTCATGGCCGGGGTCGATAGAAACGTCAGCATAAACTTGATCGAGTCGCAGGAAAATCATATCGTTCCTCACCACATCCTTCCCAAGAAATGAGGGGACTATCTGTGTACGGTCAAAACCGATTCTCAGTCATAAAGACTGGTCGAGACAATGATGTTTCAATCGAAGGGTATCCACACGACAAGCTCGGACGAATTCCGAAGTAGGGGCGTCGAGCTTCGAACTATAAGACCAATCGACGGCAAAACTCGATATCGTTATCGAGCCCGTATCCGAATCGGACTACGGGGCAACACCGATCGACACATGCCCTGAATATCGATGCCCCAAGGCAGAATCGAGCTCAAACCAAGACTGGGGGTTCGATCTAACATCGAGCTCGGGCCAGTGCTAAGCTCGCAGACAAGAGCCGTTACAACCGCACCGAGGGAGAGAATCTTGGCGGGAATCAAGGAAGAGACAATCCATCATGGGTCCTCCACTATATGTATTATTTTATTATGTTGTTATAGATAAAGCAGTGACCCTCTAGTATAAAAAGGGACATAGACTGCAATAGACGGGGCCCCCGGGAAGAGAGAGAGGGAGATTTTATTGTGCTTGTTTTCTTTAACTCATTCAGTCTTCCTGTTCATTATTCCCACTTTATAGCAAAAATACATGTATTGCCATTTGGTATCAAAGGAAATTGCATACCCTTAGAATCACATCTAAATTTAACGTTATCCGATTTTTCGGATAAACAGTCAGGCTTAGCAAAATAATGGGGAAAAGAGGAAGGAACAAAAAGCCGACCCAATAGATCTTTTTATCCAAAAATTGATCGTCACAGATATGTCTATTGCGACAGTTACGAGAAGTGCTGCAATAATTTACCCTACGACAACAGTTACTAGACAAAGGCAATGGTTTTGTAGCTAAACTGTCTCAAAAGCACTTTGATGCTTAGGCAACGGTTACAATCGTTGAATAGATCGGCTATAGCAACGGTTATACAACCGTCGCAAACAATTTCGTTGCCATACATATAATTAAAGTGTATTTTGGTCAGGAAATAAATACTTGAACAAAATACACAAGCATTTTGATAATGAAATATAATTATGTGAGAGGTCTTGTGAGAAAGGAAAAATAAAGGCAAAGGTGTTTGGTGAATATTTCGGAACAGTTTATAAATAAGGCGTGACCACACAAGTGTCAAGTGCCATGTAGTAACCATTCTCATGTGAGTTCTAATATATTCTTCAATCTATGTGTATCTTTTTCTTGGTTATGTTACTTCTTTGTATCTCTTAGTATTCCATTTGTTTTTTTAAAATATTGTTATAATAACATGCCATTGTATATGTAGCATTATGAATGTACATATGTCGAGTTGGTTCAGATTTTTCAATTATCAAACCAAATCAATTGTCTCGAATTTTTAAATATTTAAACCAAACCATACCAACAAAAGTTGGATTTTTCAATCTCGGATTTTTCGATTTTCTCGGATTTTTTCGGATTTTTTCCGACAAAATCTTCGTAGTATAAAATATATAATTTGTGCTCTAATATTTCTTACGTCCTAGTAGGATAAAACTATATAAGATGTTACCCAATAAAATAATACAAAATAATGTGAGATGAGTTATGATTATACTAAAATACTCAAGAAATCGCATAAAATAAATATTGCCAAGTAATAAGTCATAATAAAATAAATATGATCTAAAAGTACTAATTAAGTCATGCTAAAATAAGTACGACTAATAAGTACTAAGCATTAATTACATGGCTAAATAATATTTAAAGGAAGTTATGCATTTTCACTATTTAAACCAATGCAAAACTAAAAAAATAAATATCCAATACTATTATCATTCTTAGTATTGAATTGAATTTTTTTTTTTTGTTAGCATTAGTATTGATTTGATTTTGTTTTGGGCTTTATTTGAGTTACTAGCTTTTATGGGCTATAAAACATATTTTATCATTCAAAAGTTCTAAGTCCAATCTTGAAACAATACATTAAAAGAAAGAACTATGAAAAAGTTTAAAAAATATTTATAAATTATATTACAATTATTATTTTTATGTATAAAATATTTTTAAAACTTGTATACATGTAATGTTGGGTTGGTTTGATTTCGGTTTGACTTTTTTTAGTTAAAACCAAACCAAACCAATTATGGTCATTTTTTTTCCTAACACCAAACCAAATCAAACCAAACCATAGTCGAGTTTTTTTTTCTCGGTTTGATTCGAATTATCGATTTGATGTGGTTTGTCGGTTTTCTTTGTACACACCTATATAGCATGTATGGTAGTTTCTATATTTTGATAAGTTAATATTTTTTGTGTGTGATGCTGCTTAGTACTTTTGATTTATTGGATATTAGTTCTTGACTAATTTTTCATAGAATTAAAATATTCTCAATTTTGAAGTGTCCAATCTTGCTAATTTGGGTAACTTTTGTGCGGAGAAAAATATTTTGATGAAGATTTTTGTGTGAATATTTTACATAAAACTTTATTTTAATAATACTAATATTTATTTTACAAAACTTTTTATTACATGACTTGACATACACATGCAACAAATAAGAACCTTTTTTGCTAGGTAAACATAAGTAAACTTACAAGTAGGTTTTTATCGGAGATACAACAACAACAACCCAGTATAATTTCACTAGTGGGGTCTGGGGAGGTAGTGTATACGCAGACATTACCCCTACCCTGGGGTAGAGAGGTTGTTTCCAAATGACCCTCGGCATCCTTCCCTCCAAGAACTCCCCACCTTGCTCTTGGGGTGACTCGAACTCACAACCTCTTGATTGGAAGTGGAGGGTGCTTACCATCAGAGCAACCCGCCTCGAGCAACCCAGCTTTCATTGGAGATAGATGGAAGAAATAGTAGCAGCGCTGGAACTTTGGCAATTAAGCACACAAACTTGGTAACTGGTAAGAAAAGTGAAAAGAGAAGACGTTGTTTCGATGGCATGTTAAGAGGCGTCCATTAATTGAGAACATGAAGAGTAATGAGGAGAGCATCAATACTTTGCCAAGAGTAGCGATGTAAAAGCATAAAGGTTGCAACGGTTGAAAACCTTAGGAACAGTAGTTAATGGTCTTCAGGTTAATTAGGTTAATAACAAGGGCAATTAAGTAATTTAATTTTAATTTAGGGGGTTTTCTGCTTTTATAGTACTCTCTTCGTTTCAAATTAGATGATGTACTTTTTTTTTTAGTTTCTAAAATAAATAACACATTTCTAAATTTGGAAATAATTAACTTTAAACTCTTCATTTTACCCATTTTATCCATAATGAGAAGTTTTTATAACCACATAAATGTTATGGCCGCACAAAGCTTTTATCCCTTAAACTTTTAAGATCACAAATTTCAAAAGTCTTTTTTTTTTTTCTTCATAAATTCCGTGTCAAATCAAATTAGCTCGTCTAAATTGAAACTTTATAGTTTAAAAGTAGAGAAACGTGATTAGATGTTATTTGTTAACGGCTGCCCTTAATTCATTTTTGCCATATTTAGTTCTTAACTATAGGGATCTGCTATTGAAGCCTGAATTAATGTGGTCAAAGAATTCGGAAACTAGAAGAAAGACTCCTGGGACTGCAGCAGGCACGGATCTTTCGGCCATGAATTATCTTTATTTTGTGATCCACATAAATCTGACAGGCGAGTGAACATTACTTGAGGAAATAGAACTGAACTGGATTTTTTCCCACCTCAGTGATATCCTTACTTCAAATTAGATAAACTTTTAAATTAAAACTTGAAAAAAATGTGCACATTATTACCTAATTTTCGCATTGTACTTCATAAAAGATGGAAAACAAAGAAACTGGAGCTTGAAATGTAACTAAAAAGGATGTTTAAGGTCGACAGTTGAGCAGCTTTACTTAACATCCACTTATTTCAAAGTTCACATTGCTTGAAAGAACAAAGACAAACAGGTATTTCTTTATTGGAACAAATTCATCAGAAAAGAGGAAAGAAATACAGTGACACCATATGAAACAAGTATTCTGCTTGATCCATGAACCCAGGCTCCCGGCAATGTCACCTTGATTCTCTCCTACAGAAAAGAGGAAAGAAAAATATGAGAATGTGTTTAAAACCTAACAAAAAAGGAAAATATAATAGTGACCATTGTCGAACATATGATTAACAAACACAAAAATAAGTGAATGATCATGATTAAGATGCTGATACAAAGGACACCTGGATCCTGTTGTAATGGAATTTACTGTTCAATAAATGTTTGAGCAAAGTGCAATGCTAAATTTGAGAGAAAACACTTAACCTTAATCATGGAATTTATATTTTGTGTAGAGATAGCTAGATTCCAATCTCTATGGATCATTTCAAGATAAAATGAATCTGACTGACCTTTCAGCTTCATTGTGCTGCTTTGGACTAATGTTCAGGAGGAAATACGGTGAGGTTGAATTTGCTACTTTTAGATGTCTTGCTTTCCAGTATATCTTTTGCTGATTTGACCGCTTTGCTTGTGTTCTCCAGCCTCATCTCTTTAAGGTTTGGTATATCAGCCAGTCCACGTGGCACAGCCTGGAGCTTATCACAGGAGATAAGAACAAGGTGCCGAAGTATTGGAAAGTTAAGATTTGAAGCTTCCCAAGTTTCTAATTCTGCTGCTTTTTCAATCCATAGGACCTGGAGTTGGCTAAAACCTCCAACCTCCGGCTGCCAGGAATCACCGATAAATGCATCTTCTTTCAATTTTAGGACCTCAAGGGATTCCAACTGCCCCAATCTATTCGCCTCACTCCAAGCAAACCTTGTATTAGCCAAAGTTAATCTCTTCAATGTGCGTACAATTCTGAAGAATGCTGCAGGAAGGTGAAGCGCTTGATTCATGTAAATAACATCATTCAACAGTTTCAGATGTTCCAGGCACTTTAGCTCTTCAAGATTATTGATTCCACCCTTTTGGGTATCAAGAAAAGCCGCCATTTGCCCTCGGATGTTCAATTTTCTGAGATGACAAGCCTTGGCGAGCACATCTTTCTTGCAACTTTCTGGTGCAACCAAAGAAAGAGTTTGTAGAAAAGAAGCTTTACCTGTCGTGATAGCAGGGGATGGCAATTTTGCAGGTATGTTGGTGTGGAGATGCCTCAACTGTAGCATGTTCCATATGTCTGCTTTTATGTCAAGGGTGGGCTCTGATGTACTTGTATTAAGTATAAGAGTTTGTAAATTCCAGAATTTACCAAAGGTCGGAGGAAGGGCCTTGAATTCACCTGAGATAGCAATATACCTCAAATGAAATAACTGGTTAAAATCCTTGGAGAAAAGAAATTTGATGGATTCAACTTCCAAGACCCTGATAAGGGGAAACGCTTTGTGGATGAGTTTGATGTCATTAGGAGATAATTCGGTTTGTTTTTGTTTCGAGGAAAAACAATAGAAAGATCTCACATGTTCTGCAAAAGGTTTTCCAGAGAGAAAGTCATGCAGAATAGAGGGTTGAATGCACAATCGACGACAAGCATCTTGGTTTTGTATCGAAGGAATAACGTGACTCGGTGTTGGACATATTTCTTGAAACAGCCATTTGTTAGAAGCCTCCTTTATGCAGAACTCATGCAACATGTCGTGAATACGACACGTTTTTATTTGACCATCAGACCTCTTTTGCTGCAATATCACTAAGTTTCTATTGACAAGATCGTTCAAATAAAATTCTGCTATCTCCTCAAGAGTGTAGTTCTGTTGGGGCTTTATTAACCCCTCCGCTATCCACAAGCGAATTAATTTCCAAGAAGGGATATCAAAGCCTCGAGGAAAGACACCACAATACAAGAAGCACGTTTGCACCTCTTGCGGCAGACGATCATAACTCATCTCTACCAATTTAAAGCAGCTCTCTTGGCTATTCGTAAAAAGATGCTGCACCACATTTCTCTCAACTCTTAGCCAATCATTTTTGTTCGAACGACCTCTTAATGCTCCTGCAATTACCACTAGTGCAAGTGGTACTCCTCCACATTTTCGTGCAATGCTTTCTCCAAGTTCTACCAAGTCATCAGGACAACTTCCCCTGCCAAAAATTCTTTTTACCAACAATTCGGAACTTTCTGCTTGAGTCAAAAATTTCAGATCATGAGGATCTGGATTGGTATAACTAGCCAAATATTTATCAACCGTGGTAATCATGATTCGATGCTTCTTTTTGTTTAATGGGAAAACTTTCTTTACAGCATCAGTGACTTCTGCTGCCCAAACATCATCTAAGACAATGAGGCATCTTCCCCCTTTATCTATATACCCACATATCACCTTAGCTAATGCGTCCACTTCCTCATGTTGATAATCTTCGGTACGTTTAGTGAAGAATTTGAGAATATTAAGAAAAATATCCTTTATTTTATAAGATTGGCCCACGTAAACCCATAGGACGTTAAAAAATTCATATGAAAGCTGAGGATCATTGTAGATTTTTCTTGCCAGTGTAGTTTTTCCAAGTCCGGGCATACCCACCACGGGGACAATATCCAGACTTTCCCCTGGACCTTCAACAAGTCGCTTGATCACTTTGTTCGCCTCCTCATCAAAGCCGACGACTTCATCATCCTCCAAAGAAGGACCCTTTTTAAGATAACAAACTGGATTGCATCAGAAAACAGTGGATAATGTTCTTAAATTTTTGCAATTATGAATATACAAAGTCTAAACTTAACTGCAATGCTGAGATAAGATAAAACTATTTGCAAACATGATTATTAGCAACAAAAAAAAATTGGAAACCAAATTACTGCATAAGTGACATAAAAGCACTCCCTCTGCCTCATTCCACGTGGCTTTGTTTGACTGGCCACATAGATTAAGAAGGCAAAATACATAAACTAACGCTTAAAGTTGGCCCCATTTGACGCCCGCCGCTGACATGGCAAAGTGTTTATCTCTCAAACAAATTTGAGCGCATGATACATATAATTGTGTTTTAATCTTTTTTAAAATTATGTGGGTCCCACATTTTCACCCTTTTCCTCACACTTCTTCTTCAACAATAGTCAGTTCACTATTAAAACACTATAGACTAGCTCATGAATATGTCCGAAGATTAAAGGCAACGCGAGAAAATTTTCAACAAAAAACTAATAATAAAAAATATGTAAAACTAGTAAAACATCATTTTCAAAGCATACTTCACTTGTATTCTCGATCCTACCAACCACAATTCACAAAGCAGTGCATATTTGAAGAAGCAAAATGCTAATAAATGACAAAGCACAAAAAATAAAGTTACAACCATTAAAATCATTACATGTAATGGGGTAGCAATACCCAGGTTGTTAATTTCTGCAATTATACTACTAAAGTAAAAAAAAAAAATCACTATTCAATCGACTGAATCTCTCTTACAAAACTAGTGAAATTATCTTCTCCACACCAAAAAAGTGTTTTCGTAGTAGGAGGAAGAAGAAAGAATAGGCTTGACAAGAAACGGCATTGCTGACCGAAAATTTTTTCCGGCAATATACGTACCCGGAAAAATGAAAAAATGAAAAGGAGAGAGACGACAGCGCTTGCTTTTCACTCGCACGCAGCTTCTGTTACGACCTTTAACAAACTTGTAACGACCCGACCGGTCATTTTGAGTATTTACACTCCTTTCAACTATTTGAAGTCTTAAATAACTTCATATGATGTATTATGACGTGTGTGAATTTGTTGGTGTTGATTTTCAAGTGTTTCGGGATTAGTACGGAAGAATGAATTTCATGTTAGAAGCTTAACTAAGAAGGGTTGACCGGAGTTTGACTTTCGTATAAACGACCCCGCAATAGAATTTTGATGATTTCAATAGTTCCGTATGGTGATTTTGGACTTAAGAGCATGTCCGAAATTTTTTTTGAAAGCCCGTAGTTAAATTAGTCTTGAAATGACGAAAGTTAAATTTTTGGGAAGTTTGACCGGGGAGTTGACTTTTTGATATCAGGGTCAGAATCCAGTTCTAAAAATTTTCATAGTTCCGTTATGTCATTTATGACTTGTGTGCAAATTTTGAGGTCAATCGGAATTGATTTGATAGGTTTCGACATCAAATGTAGAAGTTGAAAATTCTTAAGTACCTTAATTTTGAATTGGGGTATGATTCGTGGTTCTAGCATTGTTTGATATAATTTGAAGTTTCGACTAAGTTCATATGATATTTTAGGACTTGTTGGTATGATTTGACGGGCCCCGAGGGGTTTATTTGTATTTTTGGATCATTGGTTGAGAGAACAGTAAAGTTAAAAAATTTGAGAGTTTGACCATGGTCAATATCGGGTCAAGATGATCTCTTTTTAGTGTTTTGAGTGTGCGAGTAGGTCTGCAGCATGTTTTATGATTGATATAAATATATGGTTTGTGTCCGGGAGATTCCGGATGAGTTCCAGGGTAGTTTCAGATTATTTCGGAGAAGTTTGAGTTTGCTAGTTTCTGGTGGGCTACTATTCATTCGCAATTGTGAACCATTTATCACAATCACGAAAGTACTGTTCATTCGTAATTGCGAACCATTTGTCGTAATTGCGAAAACACTGTTCATTCACAATTGCGAACTATTTATGGAAATTGCGAAAATACTGTTCATTCGTAATTGTGAACCATTTGTCGCAATTGCGAAAACACTGTTCATGGGAGGCACTGTTCATTCGCAAATGCGAAACTGGATAGAATGTTTAAGATCTGAAAATGGGACTTCGTCTCATTTTCTATTTTTACCGATTTGGAGATCGGATTGAGGTAATTTTTGAAAGATTTTCAGAAAAAATATTGGGGTAAGTGTTCTTAACTCAATTTGGTTAGATTACCCGAATCCATCACAATTTTTATCATTTAATTAGTAAATTAAGTTGGAAAAGTTTGAAAACCCTCTTGGATAAATTTGAGAATTTGAGGGCCGAATTATTTTCAGAATTTAGTAATTTTGGTATGGTTAGACTCGTGGTTGAATGGGCGTTCATATTTCATAACTTTTGCCAGATTCTAAGACGTGGGCCTCACTAGCGATTTTTAGCTAAATTTCGGATTTTTATGAAAATGGTTACATTTTCTTATGAAATTAATTTCAATAAATTTTATTGACTGAATCGAATTATTTGAGGCTAGATTCGAGGCATTTGGAGGCCAATTCATGAGGCAAAGGCTTAGAATTTCACGGTTTGAGGTAAGTAACAGTTTTAAATCTGGTCCTGAGGGTATGAAACCCCAGATTTATTGTATTATGTGAGTATTTTGGAGGTGACGCACATGCTAGGTGATGGGCGTGCACCGCAAAAATTGGGACTTGGCCCATTCCGTGAAACTGAAAAGTTGAATAAGCTTGTTGTTAGCTATGTGCCCTTTTTGTGCTATAGAAATTTGACACTAAATCATGCTTAGACTATGCGTTGGTGCTGTAAAGACCCCAGTGGTCGTAATACTTGTTGAACCTTCCTGCTTACTGTTACTTGTACTCAGTCGTTGTATTACTTGCATATTTTACCTAAGTCTCTGTTATTCCCTCCTGATACATTATATCATACTGTTTTGGGCTGATTCACCTTTATTACTAAGGGCCGTGAGACTAGCGAGGTTAATGACTGAGTGAGGCCGAGTGCTTGTTTGTGAGGTATTGATACCATAACACGTGAGTGGTCCGTGCGGATCCAGATATTATACTATAGCATGTGAGTTGTTCGTGCAACACGTGAGTTATCCATGCGGATTCAGATATTATACTATAGCACGTGAGTTATCCGTGCGGATCCAGATATTGATTCTATAGCACGTGAGTTATCCGTGCGGATCCAGATATTGATTCTATAGCACGTGAGTTGTCCGTGCGAATTATAGCGCTTGGGCTGTAGGAGTCCCTCCGGAGTCTATACACCCCTAGTGTGCACAAATACCTATTGAGCTGAGTGATTGAGCTGTTGTGATGAGTTGGGTGATTGTTGCCTTGAGAGGATGTACTTGCTTTTCATTTGTTGTTGCACTTAGTTGCTATCTGTCATTGTTGTGAAATCTCTGAAAGATTTTTATATCCGAATTACATGAACTTGAACTGTATAAAATTAATTTGACTTAACCTGCCGGATTTGAAAGCATGTCTATTCTTTGCTGGAATTACAGAAAAATAAACTATAACTGTGTAGCTCGTCTCAGTTCTTTATTTATTATTGTTACTTACTGATTTGGTTGTACTCATACCACACCTTGCACTTCGTGTGCAGATCCAGGTGTTTCCGGATATAGCGGGTGTTAATTCTTTCGCCCAGTTGATTTTCTGGAGATTCAGAGGTAGCTGCCGTGTTTCGCAGACCTTGCCTCTCCTTCTCTATCTCTTTTGCTTACTTATTTGGTCTCAGACTATTATGGACCGTATTTTTCAGACTTGTATTCATATTAGATGCTCATGTACTCATTGACACCGGGTTTTGAGAGTATTTATATTTGTACTTGTGAGGTTTTTCCGCTGAATTTAATCATTACGTTTTCAAATTTAAAAGATATGTGATTTATTGAGATTGTTGGCTTGCCTAGTATTGATATATGTGTCATCACGAAAGGTGAGATTTTGGGCTGTGACATGTTGGTATCAGAGCCTAGGTTACATAGGTCTCGCGAGTCATGAGCAGGTTTAGTAGAGTCTTGCGGATTAGTACGGAAACGTCTGTATTTATCTTCGAGAGTGTATTTTATCGTGCAGAATTCATTCAGCTTGAAACATAACTCTTTGAATTCCTTCAACGCATTTGTGTGCGCATGTGTGTGCTCGATATTAGTTGTGCATCACCAGCTTGTGATTCCATGAACGATTTTCGTGATATGTATTCTGTGTTTTGGTGATGGGCCAGTCTGGAGGACTTAAGGCCAGGGTTAGACCGCAGCTTAAGCTCGGTAGCTTCAATTGTGTGAACTTGTACATATGGACTCATATTTCCAGTAGTGTTCCTATGAGTGGAATTTATGGCCCGATGAGCAGTTGAATGGCTATATGATAAGTATTATGTGATTGCAGGATGTGTTCAGATGGGTTGAATATGACGAATAAAGTTTACTTGTGACTCAAGAGTTTGCTATTGTGTACTTGATTTCTATTATTTGACATATAGTCTCGAATTATGAGTATATTGAAGGATGTTTCACGTCATTAAATTGTGGGACAAATTAAATTCTCATGTCTTGTTAATAAGTTTGGACTCAGAAAGATTTAGTGATTGTGTAGTAATTGTGGCTGCCAAAGGGTATAACAAGATGCCAATTTGAGGCTAAGCAGGTGAGTTATAATGTTGAGTGGAGAGTTTCTTTTCTACCAGCGGAGTGTATGTGTTGAGATTTGAATTTGAATTTGGTTGAGAAAGTTGACTTCACTGTCACGAGAATGAAGGCGAGCTTAGAAGATGAATTGAGGTATTTTATGGTTTGTGTTACCTGAGCTTGTGAAGAATTTTTGTTGAACCGACTGCAGTATTATGGCAGTAATAAAGTATGGATATTGTGAGTTATGGAATATTTTGTTCTATGGCTTTGAGCCAAGTGGGGGAGCCTGCTATTGACGATTTGATTTCATGGTTGTGTATTGTACTGGTTTCGGTTTAAGGCATACATATGAT